ATAACTGTCTCTAATCCCAACTTCTACCTTCAAACAACTAAAACAAAAATAGACAAGCGTGATAACACATACAGCTTACTCCCTCTTCTTTATCTTAATTCTTGGTTGTCTGAATTGAAGTGAAAATAGGTAGCCTGGATGAATTAAGAAAAGGAACCCACAAAGTGGACTGTCAAACCAGATCCGGAGTTGAGGACAAACTGGTGAACACAGCACAGTGTGAGCAAACCAATCCAGATTGTTAGAGCTGAGATGTACCATCCTGCAGCATACTCCAACACTTACTGTATTTCAGAAGGACACAGAAAGCACTTCGAGCTTTGCTCGAAAATTTCTCCAAAACTATTCCTTAATATATTTTAAAGTTCATGAAACTAATCAGGGTTTCTGGGCAACATAAGAGGGCTTATTGCAGTAGCTGCAATTAGTTTGACCAAAATTTCAAGCAAGTTACACTTGCACACATTCACCATACTTTTTTCCTTGATCTTAAGGCCACCATGTGAAGCCACTGCTGGGGCGTCGTGGTTTCTTGAAACGATCTTGGTGAAAAAAACAACTCAGTTACAGTTCATCAATTTAATTAACAACTCGTGTTAACAGACCAGTGTTGCTGTTCTCTCTTAGGTCCAACTATGATTCCCTCTATGAATGTAAAGTCTAAGTAGGTAAGTGTTCTACCTCCTCCTCTACTTTGTGAGGCATCTAAAAGTAAACCCCGATACTGAAAAGCAGGTGACCTGGGGTCTAGTGCCAGGTGTGTTATAGTTAATTGCGTAAGTCCATCATTATGCCTCCTGGCATCATGTAAATGAATGTGTCGGACAGGAAATGTTTAAAGTTCCTCCCAGCTATAAAGTTTTAATTCATAATTTAAATTGTTGCTGTTTTCTTTTTTTTTTTTTTTAAGATTTTATTTATTTATTTATTTTCCCCCTAAAGCCCCAGTAGATAGTTGTATGTCATAGCTGCACATCCTTCTGGTTGCTGTATGTAGGACGCGGCCTCAGCATGGCCGGAGAAGCGGTGCGTCGGTGCGCACCCAGCATCCGAACCTGGGCCGCCAGCAGCGGAGCATGCGCACTTAACTGCTAAGCCACGCGGCGGCCCAAATTGTTGCCGTTTTCTATTCCAGGGTAGATGGAAGAACATTAGATGTAGACACAGGTTCCGTATTAGTGAAGCAGCACTTTTAATTTCCCTATTGAAACCTATCGCATGACATGGGGTCATATCAAATTGAATTGGCATTTCCTCATGTTCCATCTGCTACCAAAATGTACTATTTGTAGTTCAGGCAGCAGAGTGGTCGAAGAACAGCAGATTTTCTTGGCACTTCCTGTGCATATGGCATGTAGATGAGGATGAGATTATCCCTAGGAAAACACTGCAAATAATAGCTGTCAATTCTTAGCAACTAACAACGCATTATTAAAAACAAACACAACCCCTCATCCACGAGTTCTACCTCACAAACTGTGCCTTTTGATTCTTTTAGCTCCCTATGTGAACCAATATTTTTTGTATGTGCTCCACCACATTTTTGCTTCCGAATTCAAAAATTACATAGATCACTAAAATCCACAGATAATCCCCAAACCTTCTGTTAGCCACTTGTTTCGATCTTTCCCACTGCTAAGCTTTTTGCCAGAGATGCTCACAAATAGCATAGTCGACTGGTTTGCATTTCATACACTTTTCCAGACAAGCTTGCTTTTTAAGGGTTTACACAAACAAGAGATTAATTTCTCTGTGTTCTAAATCTTTGGGGAGTTGACCAACATGCATGAAATCATCCATCTTTCTCCTCCTGGCTAACACATTCCTTTTAAATTATTGCTTGGGGGCCTTTTGTCCTCAATTTACACCTATCTATTCTTTAACTATTTGCATAATTCCCAATTCTCCTCCTCTTACAATTCTGTGCTATACTTTTCTGAACATGGTTTTCTTATTTTTTTGTATTCTCTATTGCATTTTAATTCCCTGAGAACTTGAATGATACATAGTGTTTGTGAATTATGAAAAAAGCAAAGATGATCCCCCCCAAAACAGGGCGGCCGAGAAAATGTGAAAAGTTTGAAAATTTTACTAAATGATTAATATGAACTGACATGACATCTCCGATTAGACTCAAAGACCCTTAGGAGAGAGAAACCAAACTCTGTATCTTTTAGGTAAGAAAACCAAAGCCCAGAGGGAAGCTAAGTGACTTGCCCAACATAATACATCTAAGTAGATACATTTATGGTCTTACTCATAAAATTATCCCCTAGGATGGTTCTTTTCACAGTTGAGAACAGCTCCATGAAATCTGTTCCCAAAACATGTGCAGGCTTCCATAGTGGCAAAATCTCACATCTGGAGTCATTCCTTTAGATCAAACCATTATCTCAGAAATTCTGAAGTAAATGCAATGGATATTAGGGAAATGAGAGAGAATAAGACAGGACAATACTCCAGAGTATTGGGTTCTAAGTTGGAAGCTAAAAAACCACACATAATCAGAAATGACTCTTGAAATCACTCATACACCTGAGTCACCCAGAGAGTGCAATACATGTGGCTTTATTCACTGGGAACAGACCTGTATCTTCTCTTAATGAGTCCAACACAGCCACGGTTTCCTCCAGCAACAGAATGGCCACAATTCTTTTGTTTATCATCAGATGAAATAGCCGGCTAGAACTAAAAGACTTGGTTGTTCCAAAACCACCTATCCTTACACAGTGGAGTAGGACTCTGCCAGAGTAAGATGCTTACCCTTCAAGAGGGACTTAGAAATGAAAGAGTTAGAAAACCAGAATCCTGCCTGTCATGCTACCCTTCCTAAGGAACCCACTCTCACTGCAGAGGACAGCTGGCCTCAGGCACCATTTAACTGTCATTTCGCTCCCACTCTCTTCTTGATTTTGCCTAGAACTACAGGTGAATTTGTGCCATTAAAGGTCTGTATGATCCGACTCCACTGTATTACCCTATTCCCATATTTGCATAAGGAAATAATGATCTGGGTTAGACACAGGATGTGTAAGTACAGCAGGACAATCAGATAAAGTGTGGACACAGGCCCCGATGAGAAGGGCAGGTCAGGTGTAGTAAAGACTCATAGAGCAGCCTGAGGACTCTTGGGTGTCTGTAAACAAGGAGAGCTGAAGGGAATAGACAGATCACTCTTTATGGGACGGAATTTGTTCCAAAAATAACCTTCACCATATTCATGATGTTTTCTTGGATTGGATTTGATAGACACATTTTAAAAATTGCAACATATCCCATTTTATTGACTGTTAATCATGTAGAGGGCCTATACTCTCAGGCATATAAGTAACCATATAACTATAGAATTCATAGTCTGAAAGAAATTAATGATGAGAATATCTTTTCTATAAGGACTTGATCATGGACAAATGACCTCAGACCAGAAATGTAACTAACCAATCCTTGGAAGTGCATTCTCCCAGTCAGTGCTCCAGGCAGCAGGAAAGCCGGACTGCCACCCCTTGAAGACCTGCCACAAAGAGCCATGTGGAAAAACTGCACGGAGCAACAGTCATGATGAACAAGAGTTCTTCTACCTAAGAATGAAAGGCTTTACACTGTGTTGGACTCATTAAGAAAAGAAAGGTTACGCTCATTAGCAAGTTTACCTGTCTCTAAGGAAATAATGACTTCTCTGCTAATATTAACTTCCATGTCAATGTAACCAGTTTTTATAAGTATAAATTATTTTAATTACAAGCAGATAAAAAATCTGTTTCCTGAACAATGTTTAGCTTAGCTTCATTATAGGAGTCAGCCTAAAGGACACATCAGCCCCTGGTCTTGCACATGGTGTTTGTCAGTGGCCATGATGAGTTGGTCCAGATTCACACTCAGGTGACAGAGGGTTCCCCCACCAGGCCCTGTCACAGGACTCCAGGCATTTTCACAACTTAACCACACAAAAGAAGACCCAGGCAGCTCCTGCCTTCCCCGAGGCAAGTACAGGAATGCCTTTCCCAGTGGCCCTTTCATAAGATTGTATCTGTACAAACACAGGTGTCTACACAGCAATGTTTGTGAACTTTGCATTGAATATTCCAGAGAACAGCAGCGATCTCAACACTCCATCCATTGTCTCACTAGGGAAAGCTACCAGTGGGAGACCACGAAAGAGGAGAAAAAAACAACAAACCCATATGTTTATTAAATACTTCAACGGCAACACCAAATACTGGTACTGGAGAGAAAATATATTTTTTAAACCACAAGGCACATTGAGTAAAAATGCTTCATCAACCTTAATTAGGTTCCTTCATTACTTGACAATGTAAATGGATTGAAACTACTACTTAAATATTCAAACCTTCATTTTACAGGCAAGTGGCTTCCAGCAAATGATAAAGCAATATTGCCGTGTGAGCGTGGAAGATGGCACTGAATTCTGGCCTTTTATAAAGGAGGAGTCGGATTCCACTAGTCCCTGCTTGGTTTAACTGTCAGGCTCTTAGAGAGCTGTCTTATAAAAAGAGGACTCGCCCTAATAAATTAACGGTGAACAGTGTGAATGTCCAAAATTGACTGCACTCAATGAAGCTCTAGACCAGTTGGTGTCCAGACTTCAGAAAAATGACTCCTTAAAAAAGATAATATTGTGACAACGGTATCATTTAAAAATAATAATAAGGAGGAGGATGATAACTGGGCAGGGCCACTGCTGCTGCCTGCCTCCCAAGTTGTCCAGCTGAATGTGGTTAAGTTAAAGCCAGTTCTCTCCCTGTTGGAGGTGCGCGCTGGCAGCCGGAGAGAGCCACCCGGGTTCCAGCTCCCCGTGGGCTGGACGGGACTAGGAATGGGACTGAGCTCGGCGTGTCTGAAGCCCCGGGAGGCTCAGCCAGGCGCTCTAGCTGTCCCTCACCACGTTCCTCCAACGCAGACACCAAGTTAGAAATGCAACTCCTCGAACACAATGACGAGAAGGCACACAAAAGGAGCGAGGCGGCCGCTCCCATCCTTACCTTTGACTTGACTTTCATACTCGGCTATGATCTCTTTGTCCTTTTTGAATCTGCTCGGAGTGGACATTATCCAGCTGTTCCGGGTTTGCTTTCAATGGGCAAGTTCTGTTGGGTGGTCACAAACCAGTCTCCTTGGAGAGGCAGAGAGTTGTACTCCCACACGCCGGGAACCCGGAGGCAGCACCCACAGGAGGGAGACGAGGGAGAGGAGGAAAACAGGAGCGAGCCGAGGGCTAGATTAACCCGGGCGCTGGCACCATACTCTCCGGATCGAGCTGCCGTCGGTGATCGGTGGAGCCCGGGGCTCGGGGCCGGAGAGGCCCAGCGCGCAGGCAAACTCCAGCGAGCGAGGGCCGGGGGCGTCTCCCTGCCCACCCCACCCAGAGCCCGGCCACTTCCTCTACGGCCGCTGGGCGGGCGCGGGGCTCGCGCCGGCGCTCCGCACCATTGTTAGGAACCCGCACCGGGCGCTCGGGGGCAGGGCCCGCCGTGGAGGGCGGGCGCCGCGACCCTCCCTTCCTGCTCCGGCCGCCGGCTCCGGCACTCAGGGGTCCCGCCCGGGCTGGGGATGCTGCTGCCGCGGCCACCGGTCTCCTGCGGGCTAAGGCTACTGCGGCCCCCGGGCAGGCGACAGGAATCGCGGTGCGAAGGGGAGCGAGGGAGGCTGCTGCGCCGGTCGATCGCGTCCTGGGCGCAGCCCGGCGGAGTTGAGGTCTCCGGAGCCGGCGCCGCCAGGGGCCTCGCCTCCTTGGCCACGGTGCACCCAGGCTCCCTCTGTCTCCTCGTCCCCCTGTCCACTGCTGCCCCCCGCAGGCCGCCGGCGACGTGCACATTCGCACACGCACCCGGAGGAGCCGCGCCCCGCGCGGCCGCAAAGTTCCCGGCGCGCCCTCGGCGCAGGCTCCCGGCGCCCAGCGAGCGCGCTGCGG